AATGGGATTCCCGATAAATCTGAGGACGAGGCGCCTCAGCCTTCTGAAAGTGAAGAGAAAGTTGAATCTGAGGAGGAGTCAGAGGAAGAAACTAAAAAGAAGAAACGTGGTTTGAGGACATCATCTGGAAAGAAAGAGTCAGCGGGGAAATCCAGAAGCAAGAAAACTGTAGTCTCTATGAAGTCCAGCCCCGCAAAGAAAGCTACTCAAAAACGCTCAGCAAGTAAACGAAAGAAGAGTGATGACGACAGTGATACAACTCCAAAGGCATCCTCAAAGAGGAAAAAGACTGAAAACCCATCCAAGGAGCAGTCCTTGACTCCTTCAAAATCTGCATCAAAAGAGAAACCAGGTTTTGTCATATCTTGCTCTTTTTTTCCCATTAAGAGTGAGTGAAGACATATGAGTACATGCTTGGGGATTCTTTATCAGTGACCTTATAGCAAAGCCTTTTGTTTTCTCTGACACGAACTTGTATCTGTGTTTGTTACTCGTTTATCTACCTATAGGAAAAAGAGGCGGAAAAGGGAAAGACAATACCAAGAAACCCAGTGATGAAGAGTTGAAAAATGCAATTCTTGATATCTTGAAAGGGGTGGATTTTAGCACGGTGAGGATTTGAACCATGAAACTACAGTTGTTGAGTTTAGAAGATAAAGAGATATCTAACGAATGCTTTATCATTTTTTGACAGGCCACATTCACTGATATCCTCAAGCGACTAGGTATGAGTAGCAGCTAAGATTATTTCCTAGCAGTTGTTGTCTTCACTGATGGTCCTGCATATGGTTTCTGTTTTTTTGGGTAACATGCCTTGTTTTCACCTGTCTTTCAGCTGCAAAGTTCGACATCGATCTCACCTCAAAAAAGTCATCTATAAAGCTGATGATCCAAGATGAGCTCACTAAGATAGCAGAAGCTGATGATGAGGAAAGAGATGAAGAGGATCCTGAGAAAGAGGAAGCCGGAGGATCCGTTGGTGGAGAGGTTAAAGCCTGATCATAAAGCACATAAATCTACTCTAGCTACTGTTTAATCTTCCAAGGAATCTCTCCTCCATCGCCTATTGTGAGTCGTTAGGCAAACATACCAGAGAATGTAATTTGTTGGTTGTTTTTGGTCAGGAATTGTGCTACAAGCAGTTTTAAAAAAAAACTTTTGGTAAAGTCAGAGAGAGGAAGAAAGATGTCACCTGCACCTTCAACTCTCAGTGCTCGCAGAATTCACTAAGTCCAGGTTACGGATGCGATCATGTAATCTGCACCACTCTTTCCAAAGTTCAATGTCATGCACTAGAGGTTTTCTAGAAGCCATGAGTCATTCATTTTTATTGTTAACCTCTGGCTGGGGCATAGCCACAATGAACCAAAATCTCAACTCAGCCGTTTTAGTAGACATAACCACTAGCCTTACTCTAAAACTTGAGACTATTCCCTATGAAAAGCAGTCCTTCAGGACATGCCTTGCCTCTGAGATGGGCCTTTCTATTGCGGAAACGTCATATGCATAATGACTAACATAAGTTATAGTGTTATTTCTCAAGCGTGCAGTCTCTTCGGCTGACTGCACTTCTCCTGAACGTAACCATGGCAAAGTATTGCGACGATATGCCATAAAGCCAATGCTTGGACCAAACAAGTAGGGTATGGTTTGCCACGATTGTTCCTCTGGCCATCTGAGAATAGGTCAACATCACTAGAGAGTTATGATGTGCTCATGTTTTGGATGCGCTACAAATCTATTATACTTGAATTGAGGTAAGACAATATATTATATTGGGTTTTGGATTTTGAAAACGTG